AAAAAAAAAAAAAAAAGGCAAGAGCAGAAGTAGAACTGGCTTCTGTTCCTTTTCTTCAGGAAGACATAAGAGGATCTATGTCCTCATGGAACAGCACTGGGAGTAGTATATTAGGCTTGAAAAGCTCATTAGAATGAAAATGTGTCAGGTTTTCTTGGAAGGTAGGAGACAGTTCAGGGGACTCATTTAAAAATACTTTCCTATTATTGCCTGCTCCTCTGAGGTCCCTAATCCTTTTGGAAACTGAGCTGGAAAAAGGTAATGACTATGTCAGAGGCCAAATAAAGTTGCTTCTGACAGTTTGTAGAATCTGTGCATTATTTTCCCCATGCTTGATTGTTTTGTTTTTGAAAATCCTTATTTGTTTTCTCTGTTTACTTCTTATGTGGCCAATCTTTGATTTGAGGGTAGGAATAAGGAATTGGGTAGAATACCACTTTATAATTTCTAGAGGACCTAACTCATCCCACTAATTTTTCATAACTCAGTAGTTCTCTGGGCTTCTAAATTTAACTTTTGCTCTTCTTACATTTCTTCTCTTTTCCTTACCTCTGTGAATTGCTGCCAAATTACACATGGATGATAGACAGGTTCTATAGTGGGAAAGACAGTTTAAGGAGGGGAAGTTGATGCTTAAGTCATTTTAATTTTCATGGGCCAGGTGTAGTGACTCATGCCTGTAATTACAGCACTTTGGAGGCCAGTGCAGGAGGATTGCTTGAGTCCAGGAATTTGAGACCAGCCTGGGTAACGCAGGGAGACCCCATCTCTACAAAAATACAAAAATTCAAAAATTAGCTGGGCATGGTGGTGCATACCTATAGTTCCAGCTACTTGGGAGGTTGAGGTGGAGGATCACTTGAGCGTGGAAGGTTGGGCTGCAGTGAGCCATGGCTGTGCCACTGTACTCCAGCCTGGGTGACAGAGTGAGACCCTACTTCCCCCAACAAAAATAATAATTTTCTTTACATACCTTCCCTTCCCTGTCCACATATACTCATTTCTAGACTACTTTCTCAGAAGGGTAATTTCCCAAGCCATTGTTGGATCCCATTTCTCCCAGGAATTTTATCACTCGGAGGAAGGGAAGACTAAAGATTACTGACCTTACAACTCAGTAGATGCCCTCCCTCCGGGAAAAGCTGGGGTACTTCCTCACTGACCAAGTTCGGGTTGGTATGGTTATCTTCTAGTTTACTCATGGCACTTTGTGTCCATAGCTTGGTAAAAAGGAAAGAAGAGGGCTGGGCAAGGTGGCTCACACCCGTAATCCCAGTACTTTGGGAGGCTGAGGTGGGCGGATTATCTGAGTTCGGGAGTTCAAGACCAGCCTGACCAACAGGGAGAAACCCCATCTGTAGTAAAAATACAAAATTAGCCAGGTATGGTGATGAATGCCTGTAATCCCACCTATTTGGGAGGCTGAGGCAGGAGAATCATTTGCACCCAGGAGGCGGAAGTTGCAGAGTGAGCCAAGATCCTGCCATTGCACTCTAGCCTGGACAAGAAGAGCAAAATTCTGTCTCAAAAAAAAAAAAAAACAACCCAAAAAATGAAAGGAGAAGCCATCTCTCCAGTCTGCTTGCCTCCTCAACCCCTTCCCCAGTCTTGGCAGAGGAGAATTTTAACCTTATTTCAAGAATGGTAGAGTT